ACCTGGGAACTGAGTTAACGGAAAACCAATGTCAGAGTGTGTTTTTTGTTTAAATAGATGAACTAAGAGTCTACGTAACTCTCAAAAACAATGTGTTTTCCAACAAAGAAGAACCAATATGAAGATTGACAGATGCCAAATTTGGGTTTATGTTTATATATAGAAGGACTTGATTTCCAACACCAAGCTTTCCATAATTAAAGGCATTATGATTCAAAATGCAAAGCACAAACAGCATATGAAGAGGTTGTTCAATCCATGTTTTTGGGAGGGTTATCCACAACCCACGGGAAAATAGAAATAGAAAGGTTCTGATGTTTTTCTAATGATAATCATTGTTTAATGTAGACTATTGACTCATCAACCCCCAGACATGGAGTGATACTGCACTCTTCACGATCAATCAATCTACTTGTTCGATCACGGACTCGTCTGATCCAGCGGCTGACCAGGTTCCCAGGCACTCCATGTATGGTGTAAAAATGGAGTGGTTGGGTAAGGCTACTGATTTCAGCTCACATAGACCCCGTACTTCAACCACCCCAATGTAGGTTGAAATAATCCAGTCCCAGACAGGTGCCCTAAGGCTCCAGGACCATCCATTTCTCGGATGTCCTGCTGTCGGCCACAGTTCGACCCTTCTCGGGAAGTACGTACTCACCTCCGTTCGACCATCCGATTTGGATGGTCCTGGACCCTTAGGGACTGTTGACTGTGTTGACCATCCAGCCATAAACACTAGCCAAACGTTCCGGACCCTCAGGATGCTCCTGCACCCTTAGGGGTGGTGTTTGGGTCATGTCACTGATTTGGGTTCAGAAATTGGGTGAGGAAACTCAGTCGCCGATACTGCACCAGTCGAGAAGACGGAAGTGGCGAGGACTGGGACTGGATCGAGTTACAGACTTACGCCACCACGGATGGGTCATTTTCATTGATTCATGGGGTTTTAATATGAATTAATGTATATAATCAATTGGAATCATCTATGTCACTCTTCCAGTGGTGTGGAGTGTTTGTGTTCACGTCTCCCTAATAGTAGGGATTCACATACCTTCGTTTCGGAAGGAGGGCGCTCCGGGTGCGCTTCTCCGGATCGGGACCACTTCTTCGGGTCCGCGACCCCGCGACCCCTCGGACACCGGTGAAGCCGCACAACGAGTGGTGGAAGGACGACCTTATCTTCCGCTCGGGCCCCGCGCCCCTTAGGGGTGTCTATTTAAAAGTAAATCGGGCGCCCCTTTTTTTGAGTGATTCACGGTGTGCTCCGTGTCGAATGTGTCGACTACATGCTCATGATTATCCAAATCTTGGGACTTAGGGTGGTCCATGTACTTGCCACTCATCCCGAGCGGTGCTGAACGCTCCTTGCCACCAAAAGGCGTCCGGAACTGCTGCCAGTTCCACTGCCAGCGCCACGGCAATTCCAGCGCTGGCAAAAGCAGAGGCGAAGAACACCCAAAGCGTTGACCTAGGTCTGGGCGGTGTTCGGGTGAGGTGGTTCTTTTCAGAAAACAGTGCAGTCGACCCGGGCACGCGACCCGGGTCCATGTGTAACCATTGGAGTCGCGAGCGTTTTGGGATGGCAGTTGATGACCTATACATGAATGGTGTGCCAACGTTTTTTCCCGAGTACATTCAAGCTTTTGGCTGGGATGCTTGATGCTTGCCTATAGCCTTTTGAGCTATTGGTGTATATGAAGCACTCTAAGAGCCGGATTCACTTGAAGATAGGATCAACCTGATCAACATATCAATCCTTTGGGCAAGTGCAATTGGAAAACTCTTGCACTTGTAGACTGAGTAGACTGTTCAATAGACCTTCAGCCTTCCTCAAAGGTGGATGCAACATATTCCATCCATTTTCCACAGACCTGCACCCTCCAAGTATGTCAGAACATGGGTATACCAATATAGCCTGTATGTTTCTTTTCGGGCCATGTCAGTCTGGCTACGAACGGTACTGTCAGGTCGTACGGCCAGACCCTACAGGTCAGGATTTGACCTTGTACTGAACGTGGTGATACAAAAACACTACTTACCTGGACCCTCCAAGGGGTGTCCTGGCTGGACTACCCCATACTACCTATAGGCTTCCACCCCTTGGAGGGTCCTGGTACAGAGGTTTTCAAGACGAGGTTTTACCAGGTCAGACCGGCCCTGTAGGGAGCCAAGGATTTCGACACACCCGGGCACTGACAGACGCTCCGGGCGTTCTGAGCGCGTGTCATTCGCTCCGGGCGTTACCGCGCGCGAAGAACCTCGGGGTTTCAATCCGCCAAACCATTTGGTTCATCAAAGGCACGGACCTGCAGTCACAAAGGGGTGCTTAATGGAGGTTAGGGGTGCCCAGAACATCCACCCACTTGGGGACTAAACACCACCCCGTCTTGTGACTCCAGGGACATGTTTTGACTCAACCCTCCTTTGGTATCGGTCCTTCCGCCCAAAGGGACCAGCTCACACCTGGTGCCGATCAGGGCACCAGGTTGCTGTGGTACCCTATAGGGCTCCAGTCGTACCTCTGAAGGTATGACTGGAGCCTCCAAATCCACCCACCTCAGTCCCACCTTCTGAAAGGTACGGTACGACTGGAGCGTTAGGGATTTGTTGTGGTACCTCATCCACCCGTCATCCCCCAGTCCGCTTCAGGCTGAAGCCGCTGAAGCGGCGAGTCCCGCCCACGGCCAGTTCGACATCGTGGACACGTTCTCGGAGCGGGCGGAGGAGTGGGGTGGTTCCAAGACCTGCGAAGGTCCGCAGATCAGGTGGATCCTCCAGAGGCTCCGAGGCTGTGAAACGACGCTCGACTTCGCGACTTCGACTGGTCCCGAAGCACACCCGGATTGGGGATTGGTGAGAAGGTCCGCACTCCTGCCCAGTTCGGATTCAGGTCCGGTTTCGGGTCCCCGAACGGAGGGTCCATGGCCCAAACAGTGTGGACACACGGTAGGGGTTCTTACGGTAGGGGTCTCTTGCCGGGATAATTTGTTCAATCTTCTTTCCCGAACTGGATGAATCCCCCAGCAAAATCAGACTAGTGGGTGGAAGAGGTTCCCGGCCAAGTGCAAAGGCCAGAATAGTTCTCCCTGCCAGTGTATGTTTTGGTGCCAGGCCTCAAGATCAGGAAGAGAACGGAAAACGGTCATCCAGCACCAAGGATTCTGTCCATGAATAGCCCCGGGAAGAGGTGAAGAGGTGACAGAGGCAACCACATCAAGCACCCCGACTGGGGTCCAGGATGCAACATGTCGTAGATTGATGTGTTTACTGCGTGTATGACACAAAATACATGGGACACAACATGTGATGGCATGGCATGATAGGTGAACATGACATGTGTCCATGGAATGTTTTTTGCATGATACCCGCACCATCCATGTATGCAATATATATACCTGGACCACCCACTGGTACAGAAAAATGTGTACCACCCAAATTCTGCTCGAGTATATTTTTTCTGCTCGAATGCATGTTCCCCCCAAAAAAGTGCTCAATCAATTTTGGGGAGAGCACACACATGTCAGCAGACGAAGACCACAAGCACTTTTTCCATCACTTGCGGGCTCGAATCCAGTTCTTGCGCATCCACAGGCGCCTGTAGTGGCCTAAACAACGTTGTGTTGTTCTGATGGCCAGCCCAAAAGCATGGCAGCGACGGGAGGTTCGACATACCTCAGCTGCAAGTGGCACATGAAACAAGTTTGCACGCGCACAAGCATATGTGCAACCATATTGACTTGCAACATGGCAACATGCATGTTATCATGCAACATGAATGCATCCAGATCGACACGCCTGTTCACACGCAACATGAATGCAACCATGTTCACATGCAACATGAATGCAACCACATCGACATGCAACACGCAACATGCATGCAACCGTGTTCACATGCAACATGAATGCAACCATGCACAGCGTCCATGCATGAGGCATGAATGAATGAATGAATGAATGCCTGCATGCGTGCATGCATGCATGCACGCATGCATGCATGCGTGCAACCGCGTCCATGCATGAATGAATGAATGACTGAATGAATGAATGAATGAATGTAAGCCTGGCTTAAGCTCTTCAACTTGCAAACAGGGAACTCTTCCGATGAAGTCTTCATCCAGCCATGTAGCGAACCCTCGGGTAGTCTTTATCCCTTGAGTGTGTCTATGTGCATACAAGCCAGTGACCAAAATTTTGCCGAAACATGCAAACTAGAAGCGGTTGGCCGATAAGATCCACTCCGCATTGCGATCTAGCTGGTCCTGGAAGAACATCCTCAGGCACTATGTTGTCACTAGCAAGATCCGCTTTAACATGGAAAGCGCGAAGGCGAACAAATGCTTTCAGGCAGCTGGATCTCTTGCTGCATGTGCAATTTGGGAACCTTTTTGTACAACTTCCACTGCTGTCCACGTGCATATCTGTTGAGGGCACTGATCCCTTCCTCAGCTACATGTCAAAATCAGGGGACTGCACCCTTCCTCAGGTACATGTCAAACAGGCTTGCGCAAAGATTTGTTGGCAACTTGTTTTAATGCGGCCCGAATAGCAGTCATCCCCTGAGATGCCCTTACACATGTCAGTGCTTGCTGGCGAGATAGCCACATCTTCCTTTTCCCCATAGTCCTGAAGTAGACATCGATGTTCTGCAGCGTCCATCGAAGAAGAGCCAGGATGTCATCAGGAGCTTTCTCAGCACATGTCAGAGCAATCAAAAACAAACACAACGTATGCAGAACATTCTTGAATCAGCAGACAAGAATCGTGGCCAGGGATGAAATCACCGTTCAAGACTTGCAGGAGCCATTTGCTCAGGACCGTTGTGTCATGAGCTTTCCCGCACGCTCCAGGGAAGCTTTGAAGCCTCAGCTCATGACATAGCAGACTTGCAGAACCTCCAGAACACACACACACACACACCTTGCGCAAAACTGCAGCCCAACAGCGACTGCATCTTGAAGGTTTTGAGCTCAAATCTGGACATCGAGGTCGTGAGCCGCTCTGCAATCCGGAATGCGCGGAATGACTCGTAGGCGTTGCCCAGCTGTTGCTCTATGTTTGACCCACCAAAGAGTTGCCGGTAGGCAGACAGAAGGACCTTGGTACTTGGTGTGGCGTGGCTACATGCAACGCAAAGTGTCTGCTGCAAGCATTATTGTGCATCAAGAGCACGATGGTCGAGCTCACAAACTCTCTACCAACTCCGTGATGCCACACATGCATTTGGTCTGGAGGTGAAGATCGCTCATCCCCTCCAGGTAGGCCATGCAAACTCACAGGCGCCTTCACTGCGCGTGTGTGTGGTCTCTCCTTCCTCCACTGCGCATCCTCTTTTAGATTGTACCAATCCTTTGACAGCTGGCGCCCACACACAAACACACCACCCCCCAAACACATGCAGTCCTTAAGCGCAAACCAATCCTGCGCAATGACAAGTGCAAGCAGGGCACAACCGATGAGCAATAGTGGCACTTGCGGGTATTTGCAAAACCGGATGATAGCTTGTGGCATTTTCCTTGGTTTGCAACACCTTGCTAAAGAATCTCTTCAGCCAGTTCTGCACACTGCAAGCAAGTGACTAAGAAAGGGCCAATCACCCTTGACCCCAATGAGTGGGAATCTCAAAGTGCGTGTTGAGAGATCGGGCATGCTGACCTCAAGCATTCCAGAAACCATCCCAGACGCACAAGTCTCACAAAGAGAAAATACGGTGTGAAAGGGGTAGGGCCGAGATGCAGTGACACCTTCTTCAAGGCATTCTTGTAAGTCTTCAACCAGCACATCTTGCAGCATGTCAAAAGAGGTATCACCACTGTAGTTGTCAGCCGGGAGGACTGCGAAGAGGTACCTGGTCAAATAGGTGTGCTGCTTCTCTCCAGAGTGAATCATCGGTTGGACCGATGTCACCATCACAGCCTTACGGGCCTTCCCCCTGCCCTCATCTCCGTGTATGAGGATCGGGACGTGCAGGTCAATGTCTGCGCCTGCTGAAATTCCTGGATGTGGACCAAAGGCTGCTGCATGCTTCGCCCAGAAGGAGCGGAACATCTCTCGCCAGGCCAGCTCATCTTGAATTTTGTGACCCCCCAACAGAGGTTCACCAGAAGTCTTCTCAAAGATCAACCGGACCCACGAGCTGAATTTCAACACTGGCCACGGCATCTCGACATTTACTTGTCGGAAGCGGACAGGGAGGCAGACCATCGTCATGTGGACCTTGAGGGTGAAGCCCCATCGGTAAATCAACCGGTGAAGGTTCTTGCACCAGTGGTTCTTGGATTTCCATTGGCCAATACGCCAAAGCAAGTCAATCCAGCCTGAGGTGTCTTTTTCACTGCAGCACACAGCGCAAACACTCCCATCTACTTCCCAACCCATACATCCCAATGCCACCCCTGGATCCATGCATGCCGTGCATGTGCGAGCTCGCAATGCATGCGCGCCATGCCCAATCATATCAAATTGTGGATGCATGTGCATGAATGTTTCATGTGCCAAAACCGCACAGCACAATCCAAACCATGCGTGCTTGTTATGGATGCAAGCCGTGCATGCATGCATGCGTGCGTGCGTGCGTGCATGCATGCGTGCATGCATGTGCTTTGCGTGCTCAAAGGCAGGCGAGTGGGCCATGGATCTCAGGACAGTACCTCCACCAGACACCCCGAGGTGCCCGCAAAGCTTGCCCATGGAAACCACATGCCTTGCAGAATCAGCCTCAGGCACAAAATTCAAGAAACATTTCACACTCACATGAACACACCTAGAAGCTAAGCTCACAAAATTGCAAGAAACATTTCACACTCACATGAACACACCTAGAGAAGCTAAGTGGCTCCTGTGTCAAAGCCTTCAAGCATGGCATCCATGATGATGTTGCCAATGTCTTGCGACGCATCACGACTCGAAAATGGCGTTGCCAAGTCCACACCTCAACAAACAAGTGCACTAACATAACATGCATCTTGCTGGGTCAACAAACGCCCGTCAATAGAGACAAGATTCGGTGTTCAGACTGGTCTTTCTGGAGCCTTTTCCTCTTGCCACCTGATGACGACACCGGCTTGCCTCACAGTTTGGCAGTGATGTTTCCCAAAAGTTGAATAAACTGGCGTGGCCCGTGCCCACCTTGCTCTGGCTCAAAAAGGCCTCCAACCAAAACAATTGCTGTCAACGTGGTGCACCCGATGATTGCATTTTTGCACTGCAAGCAACAAAAGCCCCTGAAGCAGCACACTGCAGCATACTTTTTCTTCAGGCGTCGCAGCTCCGAGGCGTGTTCCAAAAAAGGACTGACATATTCCATGCCACATCAGCTAGCAAAATACCACTGGTCGGGAATATCCTCACTTCTTTTTTGACTTCTTACTCCTGGGTTTTAGAAAAGCATGAACTAATAGTTCATCTTTTGGAAACAACTAGCGAATGAGCAAGCCACAGCTGACTCAGCATGCATGTGCAGCCAAAGCTCTTGTGCTCGGAGCTTGCCTCTTCGCGTTTCACACCGTCTTTGTCCTCATCATCATCTTTCTTCTTCTTCTTCTTGCGCTCAGCCTTAGCGGCCTTCTCTTCAGCAGTCTCCGGAGGTTTCCATGACCTGGGGCCACAGCCATGAAGAACACAAAACCGACATTGAACATTTCATGCCCGCATGTTGTCAGAATGGGAGCGTAGTACAGTCCTGAGGCCAGCTCTTGGCCCTCACAAGGAACATGTTCATCTGCACA